GGGGCAGCTGGTGGAGGAGGTGGTTTTGGAGGTGCAGGTGGTGGTAGTAGCAGTGCAGCTGCTGGTGCTGGAGGAAGTGGCAGTGCAGCTGGTGGCGGTGGAGCTGCTGTGGGAGGCAGTAGTATGTCTGGTGGTGGTGCAGGAGGAGCTGGTGGTGCAGGTGGAGCAAGTGCTAGTGGTTTTGGAGGGGGTGCAGGAGTTGGGGCTGTTAGTTTTAGTATGGCTTCTGGTGGTGGTGGAAGTGGTTTCAGGCAAACCTCATACAGCTACAGCTACAGCAGCAGTGGAGGCAGTATATCCAGTGGAAGTCGTAAGGCAGCCTATGCAGGCTACAGACTACCTCCGGCCTATGTGCCACCATGAGCTCAATAGAAGAGAAGTTTCTATGCATTACATTTGGGTAGCAAAACTGTTGAAAGAAACATTTTTACCTACCAAAACATGTTTGCAGTTGCATTAAGGTGGCAAAATATGGAATAATATGCAAAGGAACATTCTGAAGAAAGCTGAAAAAATCTCCTGTCAGGAATGCTGCTTGTTTTAAGGAATATATATCAACAAGGACTTTAGTGAATGTTTCTATAGCTTTTTTATTTGTTGATTGTGGCGCACATGTCTGTGAAGTTAATAACACCAATCATTTAATAAGCAAAGAAACCACAAAAGTGAATACTGCCAAGGATTATTCACTGTAAGTGATATTAAGGCAAGTAAGAGTGCACGAGTTCTAATTTTTGCATGATTGAACTTTAACTCCCAAGATCTGATTAATTTGTCATTCTCCCTTTTAACTTTTACACAATTCTTTGAAAGCTTGTTTGGAGAATTTGATATTCTATGATGGCAACAGCCTTAAGCTGATAAGGTTGCATATTCTCATCACATCTTGGCTGGATAATGTATAGAAAGTGTTTGGTGTTTGAGAATCCATAAAGTAACTGCTTGTTGAAGTTCTCTTAGGAAACTGGTAGTTGCTACTGTTTGCTCTTAAGAAGTGAAATTTAGAGCTTCTAACAAGAATTTGCATATACTGTTATTAAGAAAATGGTGTAAAATTTCTTAATTTTGGATATTTAGGGTGCAGATATTTGCAGTAATAAGTACAAGTTAATGGTTAAACTTAAAAGAGCCAATGCTTGGAATTAAATTGCACTTTTCAATAATTTCAAGTATACTAAAAAAAAAAAAACAAGGTTATTTAAAATTAATTTTTTTTGTAGAAAAAATGTATGGAAGAAAGTCTTCAGTGGCAACATAATTATCTTATTTGAACAGAATGTCACACTGCCCAGCAGTTATTATCATTATTATTGTATTTATCAAAGGGCCTGTCATTCATTTATTTGATGTTAAAATTACTTTGATCAAACACAACTAGTGCAGGAAATTAATTTGTATTTTTTTTGTTATTTGGATTTATTATTCTTAGTTTCACAATGTAGATATAATTTCAATTGTAGTGGTGTCTTCACAAGGTGAAGACAATCAGTTTTGTACGCTTTAAACTTTGTGTTGTACATCTGAAGTAACTATACTGTGAGACAAACAATAATAGAGTCTGACATGCCATTTATCTGTGGTGTGTGTGAGTGAAACTTTTACTGTCTTTATCAGTAATGAATGTTTTACATCAGTGAACAGTTAAAATCTTTTGATGACATTGGCATTATTACAATTTTCCTGTTATTATTTGTTAAATATTGTTATGTCCATAAAAAAGCTGTTTCACAGTATGGTTCATAATTATAGTCTTAAAAAGCAGACTGTTCAAGTAGTATAATTAATTGAAGTAATTCATTCATCAGATTGTTTCTTGGATATATTGGAAACCATAGGAAGTAGATTATTTGTATCTATTGATGAAAGCTTTGACAATTTTGTGTTCAGGTCTCATTAACAGCTGATTTTTGTAGCATTAGGGTTGTTTTTGGAACTTCCTGAGTTGCACAGACTTAGGATGCCATAGTTTGACAGTGAATCTTGTTCATGCCTTTGCTTGTAAATTTAACATGAATCTATCGTTTGAACTGTAAACAGTTCAGTGTGGTGAAAAAGTTCTTGCGTTTAAAGTATGACTTCTGCTTTTGGAAATGCTTTGTCTATGGCAATTTTGGAAAAAAAATAAACTTCAAATGTTCAATGTACTTTCTTCGACACTTTTTGGTGTTCAAATAGTTTCCTCACAAATGTTTTTGTCAATAGATCAGCCATCTATAATGAGCGGAAGAATTTAGGTTAGCATGAGTTGTAAAGGTTAGCATGAGTTGTTAAGGGCAACAGAAAATTGTAACATATTGGCCCACCCTTAAAAACTAGCACCACTCCAGCTATTTCCTAACAATTTTCAGTCGCCACTATTACTGCAAACGAATACAGGAAGGGTGAGCAGAAGTACGGCGCCGTGTGGTTGTGACCGAGAAAAGTAGAATTATAACTTGATTTCCGCAGCCATGTTGAAGGAATAGCATCCCAAACGTAATGTTGCTACAAAGTCTGATTTTGTTTTACAAATGTTAAGCCTGAAAGCGACAGTTTCTATAACATACCTTCACCCGCTCCTCTTGACGAGTAGCCTTGCTCCCAGAGTGCAAGCGAGATCTCGAGGACTGCGTGCTTTGAACGAGTGGAAAGTCAGGAATATGTGTCTGGAACACGCGTCAGGAACTCGTGGGATTTTAGAACGAAAAAAATTCTCAGAATAATCTGAGAAACTCGCAATACTTGAAAATGAAATTAAAATATAGATTTAGCTTCTCTGCGGAAATCACTCGAGATTCTCAGACGACCACAATGAAAATATGTTCAGACTGTAACCACAAGCCGCAATTTTCTGTAAGTTATGCAGGCATTACCCTCCTCCCGAGATCCGGAACTCCCGTTCCTTTTAATAGGATAATAAGTAAAATCCTAAACACACTTGTGGTCAGCGTATTGCGAGCGGATTACCTTTACGCCCACCACTAAACGGAAATGTGGTTTTTCATACCCACCCCATATTTCTTTAATCACAACTCGTCACTTTAAGAACACTTACGAAGCTTATTACAAGAGTCGCACCCAAATTGCAGAAGTTCTTTTGGACGGTCACAATCTCTTCGTGGTTCCGCAGAAGCGGTGAACACGCATTCCATAAAGAAGCCTGTCAGAGAATGCGTGACCAGCTTATGGCAAGTATCGAACATGAAGGCTTTCATCTGACTATCACGAGAGGGTTCTGACCGGACAAGAGACAAACAACCGGTCACCTCTTAAAGTTACTGTCTTACGTAAATATAGTAAAATAACAAGATCAACAAGGAAGCGAAGTGAAGGCGACAATTGAAGACTCGACGCTGTGTCATGTTCATCAAATTGTGCAGCTCGAAATGATCTCTCGTCAGCTGTTCCTATCTAACGTCAGTGCATATGAGAAAGGATAACCTATTCTCGCTGAAATATACCTCCAGAATCCTCAAATTTCTTCTAGAAGCGTAAGAAAACCATCGTTATATTGCATTTGCTTGTAAAATTACATAATCTTAAACGCGGGGAAAATTTTGGATCGAGAGTGCCTTCTACACAACGAAAATTGCAAGATTTAGACGTTTTTAACAGAAAAAACTGTATGCTATTGACGCAATTTAAGACGTGTGGATCTTTCAAATAAATATTGATAACCTATGCTGATGTTTGCTCGCCCTATCAAGAGGTACGACCAAACCTGATTGGTCTGATTGCGCGCAACCTCGGCGGAGCCACGAAAATGGAATCTAGCAATTAACCTTATCGCCGAAGCTAAAGGTGACCTTAGACTGCGAGATAAAAAGTTAGATAATGTACTTCAGTGCCAACTGTTGAGAAACGATAACTGTGATATGACACGTTTGTTTAAAGCAACACGGGTTATTTAAAGTACTCTAGCAGAAGGTGTGTCTACAACCCAGTGATAATTCTTAAGTCCTTTGTCAGCTACTAAAACTTTACAGTCACAGAACACAATTCATATGGTCTTAATCCACATTTTTTTTCGCTTAGGAGACTACTTCAATCTGCTAACGAAGTTAATGCCAACATGTAATTACCTTAGAATGAACAGAATCGAAAAAGAGCAATCTTCAGATTAATGTTCCATCACCCTCACTAGTAAATTTAATTTGGCAATTGAGAGCAATTCAATTTTACTCCAAAGACTTACTGAATGCATTGTTGTCAAGAACTGTTTATCTTTCTTTACACATATTTGCCCGACCTGTTTTGATTTTGTTTATCTTTGTGTCGCGCATAATTCTTTTTCCCCAGGATATAATTTCGCCTCAATCCCTTTCATTACTTCACTCTTGTTATTTAAAGACAAGACTTGAAAGAGGCCTAACTTTTTTAGTTCTTAAAAGCGAATATAATCCCAAATACAAACAAGGTTCTAACAATTGGCAGACAATCACAACACGCACATTCTGAGATAAGAACTGTTTTTTCTTTTACACTTAAAAGCTGTGTTTGGCTTGGCCGTCTATTTATCAAGACCACAAAATTGTAAGAATACAAATTAATAAACATGTCCTCAAAGAAAAGAAATATTTTGCATAACTGGCGTTATTCACTGACTAACACGTAGAAATATGTTACCGTTAGCCTCCTGTTTCTAAAATTCGGTCAAGCGCAGAGCTAATTTCAAATTTATAGCGTGAGTGGCATGTGATACGCGATGGTAAGGTAAAAACAGTCTTTTTTCATTACAACTTCCCTCTGCATGAAAGAAAACATAGGATTTCAGAGGATTAGCATAGCCTTGAAGTGAATTCTTCGTCAGGCTTATCTTGAACAAAATCCTCCAAACTTTAAATGACCTTTATACTGAACTGTTGAGCACATGTGACGGAAAAATCGCACAGCGTTTGTCCAATCAGTTCTCTTTAGATAGAGGCAATTTGATACTGGCCAATCTCACACTTCTGTCATCAGAGGTCAACCAGTGACGTGAAGCATACGAAAGCGTAAGGGACCCGCCAGTGAATGAGCAATTGATAACAGCGAGTTAGCGCATTTCAAAGCTTGGCCCCGCGTAACACTACACGGCTATTCAAGGAATTAATTCGATTCCTATTGTTTGTAAACTTTGGCAGATTTCACGCCGAAGTTGACTTCAGGACCGGACGGGCGATCGGCAGGCAAGCATTCTTTCTGTTAGTGCGAATCTGGGTAAGATTAGGTAGAATACTTTCCACTACTTAATCAATCTTTCATTGCGAGTGAATTCACTCCTTCTGGGCCAATTCGATCGGAATGCTTCGCGGTTGAGTTGTCGTTTCGGAATTTGTGTCGGTATTTTGTCGCTCAGAGACTCTTCTTTGCAGTTCATCGCGGCGTCCCTGATTACTCAGGGTGTAAATATTATTCTTGAAGGTTCATCCTAGTGATGTTTTAGATTCCTGTAGGCATACTGCGACTCGATCAAAGGAACAGGCCAAGAAGGTACAATATAGGATTATTATTCCAGTAAGTGACAGCAACCCTTAAGTTTTGGCAGGGCGAATATATCATAATATTTTCGCATCAAATTGCTTCCTTGATTAAGAGGAGAGCTAGCTAAACCTTTGATCGCTAAATTAAGGGTGCTAACCATAATTTTTCTCGCCATATCGTCTTAATTCACAGAGGCCTTGTGCTGTCCTAAAGGTAGTACCCTAAAGAGACCTTGAAACAATATGAAGGTTTTCCTTGTTGGATTTCTGCTAATTTCCGTGGCTCTCGCAAGCGAGCGAAGCAACGTCCAATTGCCTGAAAAAATCGAAAGCGTGACAGCTGTTGTAGGAAGAGTTTTTGTATATAATTTGCCAAACGAGGGTGGCCATGAAACCATATCTAAGGTGAGTGTTAAGTTGTACGCGGGGTGCTGACAAACCCATGTCTATATGCGACATTTCTTTTGTGTTTTTATGTGTTAACTTAAGTACGACTGTCTTTGTTTCTACACAAACATTTCTCTTTTGTAAAATATAGCCATTGATTTTTCTTACTGGCGTCTTAAGGCGGTGTAAATTCGCTGAAAGACGCAAATTTTGCCTAACTGTCAGAACTCTGTCGCCTCAATTATGAAAATTGATGATCTTTCTAAATAATTCTGAAAATAATCTTAAAATCTATGTAGCATTCGTAGAAGTGCGTCAAATGAAAATACAAAATGCACCAAGATTACTAATTGTTCATTTGGGTGAAAGCAAAGCACATTCGAAGTAGAGCGGTCTAACGATAATACAATACGCGCAAAGATCACTTAATGTTCATTTGGGTGAAAGCGAAAGCACGTTTATTTGAAGCCACATGTGTTTGCAATTTTTTTATCACTCCGCATACGACAACAAGAAGATACTTAAATTCTCGAGTATTAATGCGCAAGGTGCCCTTGGCTTCGTCAGTGTAATCCACGATTTTTAGAGATGTTTGAGTTTCAGAGTTAATTAGACAAACGAACGTGATCTTAATTTTGTTATAACTATTAATTGGAAGATTCTTATTTCGCATGCACGCTCACGGTGTCATTTGCCAGGTTGGAACAAATGAATAGGGTGTAGAATGAAGAAATCAAAACCCGCTGAAGTGTCAAGCAGATGAAACACAGAGAGCATGCCATTCATAGCGCAGAAATTCTCTTCAAACCGCATTTCATTTGATTTGCTACCAAGAGGTTTTATCGCCAATTCATCTGTGAACGAACTTGAGAATGAAAACCTCCTCTAAAGCTTAATTTATTTGGGGTCGTTTAGTGCACAACGATTTAAAATCAAGCATGTTTCTGTACTTTTTTGTTGTTTATTTCTAAAGAACAATTCGCGTTTGTCTGCCCTACATGTGGCGTCTGGCGCTGGGCAGAAGTACAAAATATATCACTTCCGGTGAAAACCTAAAAGGATCTTCAATGACCCCACCTGGAAATCGATGTAAAGCAAAACATTGATAAAATTTTCCAAATGATTTCAAGTTATTACGGTTAATTTTTCAGATAGAAGTTCCAATTATCTCTCTCTCTTGCACTTCGACAATGCGTGATTTCTGAGCGAACTGATAACACTCCTGATAATAGCTCACCGTTTTGGAACTTGCTATTAGAAATTATTGTTACGTAAATTATGTTTTTGCGGTCATGGTATGGTCGGGTGATTTCATCGAGATCATAAGAAACGAAACTTATCGCACGAGTGAAAAGCGTGATTCACATTGTTAAACATTGCGTAACGCGTATAATACACTTCTTAAGAGACTTGTAAATAGTTTAATACACTTCCTTTGAGTCCAATATCGGAAATCATGGAATGGACGAATTTTTATGATGTTTGCCGCAACCTTTGTTTTGCCTTCTTTTTATTGCATGCGGTTCCCTTTTGTTTGATATAAATAAATCTGATTGTTTTATGGTCAAGCTGCTCACGAAAATGGTCGAAAAATTAACACCATTGTGCTTGAATGAATGCAAGGAATTAACGATTATAAACTGATGATCTACTTGTTCCTGTCAAATAACTCTCTTTGCCGGAAAAACTTTTTTCATGAAAATATTTCGTTCTTATGCTAGATCTTTCTTCACTTGATGGTTATTTCACAGTATGTTTTAAATTTCAATTTTTTGAAAATAAAAACAAAATATGTTTTCAATGAATCAGGGAGTTTCTCATTAGACAAGTTTTGGTCAAAACTTCACGTGAATCCAGCCCAAACATAAAAGAAATTTAGGAAAAAAATTTAATAAACTGCGAACCTCAACAGTTTGAGCTTTCTTTTGTTTGTCTGTTAGCCCTTTTAAGACCGTGTTTTGCTTTCTGTCGGGTCTACCTAAGGATTGACCGAGAGAATGAGTAAGTTTTGACCTTCGAATTTGCAGTAAAGATGTTCTAAATTTATCTGAAACAAATGTGATATCAGAAAACATTTGAAATGTTTTCGTTTATATTCAATTAATCCCTTAATTTGTTATTGAACCATGGCGAGTTGATTTGTATGCAATAATAACTAGGAATTAAGTCGATTTAAAAAATAAATTTAATTTGACTGCTTCAATGAATTTGGGAATAGCTGAGGCTGGGAAGATTTTTAAGGGTGTAAAAAAAATGAAAACATATGCTGACAAAAAGCTTTTTTAAGGTTAAGCGTTTGAGACCAGAGGCAAAGGCTAACAAGAGAAATTGTATCCCTGGCAGTTGCTAATTGAATGTCACGCAACGAAGGTACTGTTGCGTGACGCCAAAAACAAAAACTTGACCTCTGTGACAAGGTAGTTAATGTTGGGCAAGTCAGCTCATTCTGAAGTGTCGATAACAAAAGTGGACATAATCCGTATTTATTGTCCTCCTCGCTTGTCAGGCAATCCAAAGAGGACAAGAGACACTGCCACAGTGGCTGTCTTTCAATGCAGGAAAGTCGTCTTTACTTGGAGTTCCCTCATGGCGTGACAGAGGCGGAATTTTGATCGATTTTCAATCGCAAGATGGAGTTGTTGTACATTCACTACAAATCGAGATCAAGGACTTGCGTGACGGAGCGTTACAGCCCGCGTCACGCTCAAACAATACTAAGGAGTTTTCTTATTCAAAACCGAAGTGCCCTAAGGGACTACCTGTCGCAGCGGCCTCCATTATACTTGACTATCACTTGGAGAAAACCACAGGGTTAACAAGGGTAGAGATTATGAACAAAGTGAGCGAGTTTGTCGACGTGGATGTTGGAAATCTGCACATGTTGGCGGGAAAAGGACACAACACAGCATTCGGGCTCAAGGATGTGATTACAGTCACAGCAGGCCCAGGAAATGTTGGGGACCCTAAGCAACCGGGCCTGGTTATCTCTTGGCAGATTGGATGCGGTATTGATATTCCTATGGCTGGTAAGTTTTTGCGTTTTTATCTGGCATGAACTGTCATGCAATTCTGCGTCATGACCTTAAAAACCCATTTGTTTTGGTAGTGAGTGAATCTTAAACCTCCTCGGTACACCGATGGGTTTTTAACAGTCGTGTACTGAAAAAAGTCCAAGCTGAAGAGCACTGTTCTGAGCATTCAAATAGCAGGAACTTTCCGTTTCCAGAGTTTAAGAAATGACGGTGATTTTTCTTCGTGTAATGCTTGTAAATGCCCTTCGGTTGATTATCCATGATCCTCAACACTATAAAAGAAAAAAATCAACGAGCTGAGCACGTCTTTCAGTTAACCCCTTTGACAAATGGGAAATTAAATAAGAGGTAATCTACAGAAACTATGTAATTTTCTTCTCTGCCATTCAAGAGAATGTTTGATATCATGACACGAAACTGTCTTCAAATATACGGACGCTACTAAACTGGAATCTTTCTCAGCGACCTGTACAAGTTTAGAACGCCTCATTCCCGTTTTATCCGTCATTGATGTTCCGTTTTAACTTAAAGGAGCTAAAGAAAAAAATCATTTTAACTGCAGTAATGATTTTTTTAATGATAACGTATGCGATTTGGTTCAATTTGTGCGTTCTAGTTATTGAATAGTTTCAAGATGAAGGCGTCTGTCCGCTCGAGTCGAATTTCTATCTCATTTGAAGATTTTCGAATTGTTAGGTTATTCATTGGAATCTTAAAACGCATTTAGTGGTGAATTTGTCCAGGAATTTTTTCATGGCGGAGAAGAAATGATATGGTGTCCCAGTCCGGAGCTACTCCTTTTTACTTCAAAGGGAGATTTTGTTCCACGCCCGATCAATTTTTCACAGCCATTCTAATTAACGGACAAACCCTCGATTTCACTTGATGTCATAAGTAAGTGAACCCATTAAGACACAACTGTTGTTTGACCTGTTTTTATAGGAGTAAGAATAGCAACCTTCCTTAAATCAAGCGCGGAGACTGGATCTTTCGGTCCGGTGCTTGGTCTCCCTGTGTCTGAGTGGCATATATCCATTGGTTACCCTAAAGAACCTCGTCAAAGAACGCGTGGGCAAGTTGCACAGGACAGTTCTCCTAAAGTTGTTAAACGATCAACGAAAAGAAACGTCCGAGCGATTCAAGCAACCCCTACTCCGACTCTGACCACCGTTCCTCCTACTTCGGTCGTCGCCAGTGTCACAATAACTGTTACAAGGACAAGTTCTGTTGTTCCGACTTCAACTATAGTCCCAACTACAACTCCGGTAGCTCCGACAACCACCGAACAACCGACGACAACACAACAGCCAACCACCACACAGCCACCTACAACGACAGAGAAACGGACCACGACCGAGAAACCAACGACCACTCGGGAGCCAACTACTACCCAGCCAACAATCACGACAGTAAAACCGACCACCCCCGAAGAGACGACTACTACCGAAAAACGAACTCCCACCACGGAATTAACCACTACCAAACCACCGAAAACGACCGTAAAATCGACCACCATCAAAGAAACGACCACCTCCACAGAATCCACGACAACCGAGCGTACGACCACGAAGGAAAAACCGTCCACCACCGAAGAACCGACTCCCACCGAGAAATCGACTACCGCCCCAGAACTTACCACCACAACACGAATGTCGACGAAAGAAACGGCAACTACTACCGGAGAGTCGACTACTACGGAACAACCAGCTGCCACGACAAAACTGACCACAACCGAGCGAGCGACGACAACCGAACAGCCGAGCTCTACAACGACCACTACAGAAAAACCGACAGCTACTGAACTAACGACAACAACAGAACAAACGACGAAAACAGAACAAACGACAACAACAAAACAAACAATAACAAAACAAACAACAACAAAACAAGCAACAACGACATCAACGCCAAGCACGACTGTTCTATCGACCACTAAGAAATTAACAACTACAGAGCAACCAACAAGACCCCCTACCCCTATAAAATTATCGACTACAGAGCAACCAACAAGACCTCCTACCAAAGTGGTGTCACCAACCATCTCCTTCCCAAGGACGGTGAACGAGATTGGTGCCATTGATATTAATCGAGGCCAAGTGTTTCGGTTCCATATCCCTCAGGACACGTTTTATGATAATCAAGATTTTTTCACTCCAAACTTGACTCTTGCCTTGAACACGTATGAATGGAAGCCTCTCGGGAATAATTACTCATGGATCAAATTTGATGCCGAAAAACAGGTAATTTATGCCTTTCCGATCGACAAAGAAACAGTCGGTATTCACGAATTTATGATGATCGCGAGAGATAAAGATGGAAATATGGGTTTTGATGCATTCCAGATAAACGTTGTGGACGATTCATCAGTCTCCTACAATCATCGGTTTACTCTAGAAGTCGATTATGATTACGAGGAATTCTCCAAAGACTTTGACAACCAAATGAAGCTTGTTACAAAGCTTGCAAATTATTTTAACGTGAACTCGAGTAGCATCAGAACCGTATCATTCACTGCTGGATCTGTGGTAATGAAATTCCAGTTCGATTCATCAGAGGTTCCCTACGACGAGTGTGATTTTCCTCAGAGAGCAAAATTCCTTTCTGAGGATGGTGATGATGTTAATCCTGATCTTAAAAAGGCTCTTGAGCCCGAGTTCCCAGTCGAATCAGGAAATTTTGAAGGTCTCGGACCCTGCGGAGCTGTGGTAGACGTGCTGCCGGCAACAAAATCAGGTCGGTGGAAGACCTACGTGATTATCCCAGTGGTGATTCTTGCCGTGGTGCTTCTTGTGGTGGGCATATGTCTGTTCCTTGTTTTGCGGTCGCGTAAGAGACGAAAGCTCTCTCTAGAAGACCAACAACTCTACGTGTACAAGCGCAAACCGGCTGTACTTCAGGAAGAGTACGAGGTCAAGGAAAGACTTCTTAAACAGCCCCTGGTGTTGCCGAACGAGAAACCACCCCTCGCTGCCCCAGTTCACCCGAGGAGCCCATCCCTAAAGCACCAAAACGGCGAGCCGCCCCAGTCCTCATCTTATCAGGCCCCGACTTTCACTTCATTCATACAGTCGAGCAATCAGGGAACACCCAACGGAAACAGCCCCCGGAAACCAGGGTATTCGGGATACCGGTTACCCCCGGCGTATGTGCCCCCTTGAGGACAATTTACCACATAGGATCGTTTGTTACTATCGCGTGACTTGCAAAAAATGAAGAGGCGAGACTTAGTACCAAAACTGAATACTGAATTTATTACTCGTGTTAACGTAGAAGAAACTCGACGATTTCCATCGTCTGAAGAGTTGTAAGCAATGTATGTCTTCGGTAATCGAGCTTCCTCGCTCAAACTTGATATTCTTAATTCTTAATGTGCCGACTCTAAAGCGAAAAAGACAGCGAATTTTGGTCTAAGTTTTCTTTGCGGAATTTTTTTTAACCCAGTTTTATGTTCTGCGCATACCCATCAACCGAAAACTAGAATGAAAAACTGGCTTCTCTGTTGATTATGAAAATAGGTTTTTAAATCCATTATAAGCCAGGGTTGTTTCAAAAATAACATTACCTCACGAAATTCCAGTATCTGAAAAAGAAGCAACACCCTTATTGTCGAGGATTTCCGTAGTAATTAAGCGACTATATATAACAATTTAAGCCTCTAAAAAAGGGCTTACCACAAATACTCTTTACAAAAATGCGTCAAAAGGAAGATGAAGAAGGAGCGGTGCAGAGAGAAGATTCAAGAATTCCACATCGTTACGAAATTATGAAGCTTATACATTTCGAATCTCACAAATATCGCTCACAGTTGCATCGGTGTGGATGCTGTTTTGTTTTTAACCCGCTTATCAAAATGTATGTATGTCTACAATTAGGTTATAATCCTTGTGCCTGTTTAACTAATTTTTAAAAACGCATTAAGAGATTAAATTGATAACTTTTTCACTGATACGTTGTGATATTTGTTGATCTTCAGCCAGAGGTCGACATTAATGCATCGGCTAAGTTTGTTTTGCTTGCCCTGCATAGAAATTAAGCAGTTTAGACTGAAGAACCTCGGAAATAAGAACCTTGTGAAACTACGCCATTTTAAATCCTTTTTAATCTTCTTCATCGAAAGCTATGATGGTCTTTTTACGGCCTTCTCAAATTGTATTTTGCGACTTTCACGCAGACGCAGTTTTCACATTTGAGTTACAAACAGCCCACACAAGCCAGTAATTCACAGAATTTAAAAAGCGTAAAACGTTTATGGTGAATCTCATAAAAAATGATAGATCAACACGATACCTGTACTTGAATGAACAGTTGCGTTCGGAAAGTCTCAAGTTTTCCTTTCCATTATCTTGGTTTCCTTTTAGGGATTTCTGTGAACGTTTAATTTTCTTTTGCTTATTTTCCTTTAAAATTTGGCGCGCGGCTGGCCAAGATTGATCTCCTCGCGCATGCCCGACGTCTCATCGCGATGATGGAACCGGTTAGGATTCGAATCCTACTTCCGTAAAAATAACGACGGCGATCGACCGAAAAACGTCATTTATTTTAGTAAAGTTAATTTCTGAACATTCAGTTGCCAACATTTACTTTCAACGTAGCGAGCAAAGGAACTGCGTGATTTCGTAGAAACGGTTTGTGATTCAACTGCCTCACTGAACTCGGCGAATGGTGAGCGAGGAAATGGCGCGGGGACAGTAAATAATCAATAACTCGGTCCTTGTTTCGACAAATTTAATCTTTAATTCAACTGTTAGTGCAGCATTAGTACAAAACCATTATGCGGACAAATCGTCCTTGTTGTTAGAGTTCATTATATCCCACTATAAGCTTATATACAAACGTGTTTGGAAATAAAATGGTGTCCCTGTGGCGGTAACTTGTGTCCCCCTATTATTATCAACTATTATTAATTATTATCAATTCTGTGCCTCGAAGTTATTTTACATTACAATCTTGTCTTCGTAACTGAATCAAATCTGTAGTAAGTCCTTGTTTTGTTCAAAAAGCAAACGATCAAAAAAAGTTTTTTCTTAAAAAATTTTGGTTTACATTTTTTCTTTGCTCTCCACTCTAGTCTCTTTTCGTTTCGTTTGATTGTTTTTTTTTTTCAGCTCGATAGGAGAAGCATTGTGGCAACTTCATCCCGCAATTTCTTTTCCAATTATAGCAATTTAGTTTCGGGGTCTCATTAAATTGTCTCGCGGTTAAATTGAGTGCGGTGTGCTGAGTGGACTTAATGTTACGCGTAGAACAAAAGTGTCGCTGAATTAACTTCCATAGAGTCAGCGGAAAGATTAGAACTGCATGAAAGCTATTATGCTTATTGAAAAACAAACATTGAAGCATGAGGCTTTTGGGTTTTTTAATGTAACACTGGCCGGGCGTTGTTCGCTAGCATGGCGTTACATAACACGTCACGCTGCACATGGTCACGCAGTCCTTGGACTAATTCTAAATCTGACTTTCTTTAGTTAGTAATAAAAGCGAATAATGCATAACCGATGGTGTTCGGAAAGAAATTTGCTTGCGACCGTTATAAGCCATTTAAACCACGGAAATTTACAATTTAGAACGGACGTAATGGCTGTCAAAGGCACACTAATATGTTCTCCTCCCCTAAATTTTACACACGACACTTCTATTGCATCGAGCGAGTTCTATGTCACACTATTCTGATGTGACATTCAAATTCCACTTCATTCAAGGACTAAAATACACGCTCGACTACAAGTGATGATGCTTGGACCGGAAACTTTAAAACTAGCGTGCAGAATTTACCCTTATTGCTCTACGTAATGTCCGATTTATCGCTTTTGTTAAATCCTGAAAGCCACTTCGATACATTCCCTTCTGGCTCCAATAAGCTGGAAACTCTGGTTTTGATCAGACCGACCATAGAATTATCTGTTTCGATGTATTCCTCTTGTTCATATTCCTCGTCACCGAGAGTGAACACGACGGGTGGCTTCTCTCGGGTGTCTCTCGTATTCCGAGAGAACAGCGACCCAACATCGGATAGAAGCGAGTTCCCTTGCTTTGCTTTGCTCTGTGGCTTGGTTCCGTTTGGAATTCCGCCTTTGCTTTTTCCGAATGAAGTGAAAAAGTCGTCCTTTGATTTGGCTCGTTGGTGATTCCAGTTGGTCTTCGCGTTGAATTCGTCGTCGTCCCAAAAATCGAGTGTTGATTGGCTAGAATAACTATTAGTCCCTAACCCACTGAGAGACGACCTCCTATGCTGCGCGCGGGTGGGGCCTTTGCTGTACTGATGTGCACATGGATTGACATATTCTTGATACCTTACTTCATTTAAAGTGTAGGTTTCTATCTCGGGATCATTTCGATCTTTGCTTGCGAGGGCATGATTCCAAAGGGCTGTAGGTTTGGCGAGACACGGTGTTTCCTCGTCAAAATCAGCGTCAAAAATTGACTTTTCGTGTTCTGACTTTTCATCTTGACTGAGCTCACTGGGTGCATCAAACAATGAATCGGGGTATTCATCAAAGTCGCTCCCCATGGAATACTTTCTATTACCTTGTGGTTCATTGTGAAAGAAACTAAAACCGTCGTTATGGTCAACGACAGCTTTTGGTTGATTACCGGAGTATGCGCGTTGACGGTGAGCTGGGGTACTGTACTGCGAAAGCTCGTACTCAGAAGTGTTACTTTCACGACCAAGAGAATAACGGAATTCAGAGTTCTCGCTTCGCGCCGAGTCGTGGCTATGTCGGGCATCATCGCAATAACCTCGCTCACTTCGTGTGTCTCTGTATTCCCGAGGCTTGTAAACGTATGACTCATCGTCATAATCGGATTCGTTGTATGCAGCTTCGTGGGTTACATCGTATTGTATATCTTGTGTTTCCTTCATTTCCTTCATTTCCTCACCCTGCGCGCCAGTAGAAAGATTCAACATAGATTTTCCAAAATCCATCAGCTTGCTCGAAAGAGAAGGCGCGGCCGATAAAGTTGAAGACGCCCCGCCTGTCATGTCGTTTGGCGCTGCAGAAAGATTAAGCATGGACTTTCCAATCCCTTTCAATTTAGACGATAAACTTGGTTCAGGATTTGAAGACTCTGTTGTAGACTTTGTTTCCTCTTGTTGGCCAGCCTCCGCTTGAGAGATGTTTAACATGGACCTCACACCCTTTATCTTGGTAGAAATGTTTTCAGCGATGTCAGAGAAGTTCATATCCAGTACCGCATCTAGCATGGACGGTTCTGCCTCTTCGGTGTTTCTGTACGTGTAATACGTAGGTATGTTAAGGGGGGGACGTTCGGTGTCGTCATCATCGTCCCACATTTCGCGAACATTGAACGATCCCTTATCCCTATTGTAAGGAAACTTAAACGGGTTTTTTTGATTGGCAGAGTTTTTGCTGTTGTCGGTTGCGGCACTGGCACCCTGTCTGGGGCGATTTGCAGCCGAGTTTGGTACCGTCAAATGTCGACTCGAGGGGCTACCGTTTGGGACATTTGCCTTGGCACCGACTCCTCTTTCGTCCTCTCCGACGCCATCTTCTTTGGAGTTATTGGAGACGGACAGCATTGAAGGATAACGATTGTTAAAATGAACAGTGTGCGATGTTAAATCTGTCATTCCGTCCTCGTTCCTTGGACGAAGGGTACGGAGTGTTCTTCTCTCTTGTACAACTGGACGCTTAGTTCTCATACGCCTATTCACAAAACATGAAATGCCAACAGGAACTCCGACCACAGCAAGGAGAATGGCGATTGTTATAAAGTGTTTCAGCCAGCCCCACTTAAAAGGTGGGTCGGGTCCTAATAAGTCCGTATCACAGGCTCCAAAAAATCTGAATTGGGCGCTCTTGACTGGGAATCTATTAGTCAGCGCTTTCTTAAACTCCTCGTTAAGCTCCTGTGTTTCTTCGTCAATCACACTAGATTTCAGCTTTTTGTACGTGTCTTCATTACAAGGAGAATAAGGAATGTTACTGAATACAACGGTTAGATTCCTAGACGCCCTATCGAACGACTTCAAGTAAATTATTTTGGGTTTTTCATTGAAAGAGTAACTTGCTAACTTGGTGGCAAAGTTAATTCTCATAGCCGCCTTTGTCATAAACTGATGAAAATTTATTCCTGTAGATAAAATCAGTTCGTGGCTGTGGCTAAATTTGTTAGCTTCTACACGGAGCTCGAAATTAACATTCAAAACTGCCTTTCCTGTCTTATAGTCAACTATCATTTTGTAAAAGAATTTGCCAGCATTTCCTGGTAAAGGAAAACCGTAGACTTCGCGTTTTCTTGCATTAAACTGGACCCATGACGAGGCGGGAATGTCTCCGTAATGATACGTCTTCATTGTGAAGCGAAAGTTTGTAATGTCACTTTCCAAGGCTTCTTCTATCTCTTGAGGAATAGGCTTTCGAAAGGTCTGCCCAACATACGCTATCATAGGCTTTGGTATTATTGTGGTTGTTGGTAAAGTAGAGGGGCTTTTTCCCGCGCCCGTGGAACTTGAATTAGCTGACAATGGATGCTCGGTCGAGTTTATGGACACCAGCGAGAAAAACAACTTGAGGACCGCTAGTGCTTTTGACATTGGAGAGAAAGCGTCTCAGCTTCATGAGCGTGGACGGTCTGTTCAGCTAATACTTTGGTTAAATCTGCTCTTCAAGGATTTTTATGGAACAATTCCAGTAGTAGACATAAACACCTAGAAAAATTATGGACCCAGATTGTTACGTATTAAGCAAGCTCGCTTCATGGAGGAGGGATGAGGGTGGGTTGGGTGGGAGACCCCATACCCGTGGGAATGGGAGATGGGGCGGAACCATACGTACCTTTTGAGGGGTAAACTTTGTAAGGGCGGGGAGCGAGGAAGTTATGGCGCTAGAGGGCGGTGAAACCCTTTAGAAGGCCTCGAGGTTTTACGATGTGAAATGACTTGTGTCATTGCTGTTTTTGCAACACAGAAGGTTTGAAGAAGAG